CACACACACACACACACACACACACACACACACACACACATACACACTGACCTAGATTGTCACCTTGGATACACCCACTCAGGTAGCTTACACCTTGGCGGCTATGGCCGCTGTCCTCCTGCTCTACCTCTAGCCTAGCTATGGAGTATACTTAACCCTGCTGAACAAACTGCGGCCTTGAGGAAGAAGTATAAAAGCTCAAATCGACTGAAATCCGCAGCCTCCAGTGGCTGATAGCCTGCCTACGTGGCTCTCTCGGTCAAACAATGGCTGCAAGAACGAAGAAAGCGCTCAGACCTTATTTGCCACAAACAACGAAAACACTCAGACCCCATCTACTCTGCACTTTGCAGAATGTGGCCCCCACTTAGGACAGAAGAGGACATAACTCACTGCCTTGACAGGGGCCGTTTGGTTCTGGAGCAGAGCTTCTAATCTATGGTTCTCCCTTTTCACACTCTCTCCTCCCCCCCCCCCCCCCCCCCCCCCCCCCCCCCCCCCCCCCCCCGCCTCCCCCACCCTCCCTCTGCACTAGCACCCCTGCTTGCCATTAGAATCCCCGCAGAGTGCAGCAAGGGTACGGTACTCGGTGCTCAAAAAGGCCTTTCTATGGACAACCTGGAAAATAAGATGCACACTGCCGTCTTCGCCCGAATAGAACGCCTGGTCATTATCGCTGTATCTAGTCTGAAAGTTGCCTCAAATACAGCTATAATGACCGGGTATTGTATTCGGGTGAAGATGGTAGGTGTACAAGAGATAAACAAAGAAGCAGCCCGGCAACAACTGATCAATCTGGTGGAGTCTGAAATCAGATGCTGAATAAAAGATCGAGAGTGCAATAACCCATGCCATATGTCTCATGGAAAGACTGAGGGCCAACTCAGCCGCCCTCAGCCCAGGCCGAAACGGGGGCAAAAAGGACCCCATACGAGGACTCAGGGCCTGGACGTGTGACAGTTGACTTTGGTCAACTGTCGTGACCCAACAGTCAAAGTCCAAAGGTACCCAGCCCAGGCCGCTGGTCAAGCACACACACTTGTTTGAATGCAGGTACCCAGACAGCATCAGGTCCAAGGGAGAAGTCTGCAACTGCACAATCCGGGCCCTCGGCTGTGAGTCAATCTGGACGACTGTGGGGAAAGCACCCGAGGCCAGACAGCCTCGACAATTGCTACTTAAGGCTGGCCTCGAGTGAGTCAAGCATTCAGTCTTGCTATGCTGCTTTGACGCTGGCTCGACTTTGACTAGACGCTGGCATTATGCTGGCTCGACGCTGGCTGTGCACTGGCGATGCGGACGACGGCACGAGGTGGAGGCAGCATGCAGGCGCTTTCTGCATTGTGCGCCAGGCTTGCTGATGTGGCGCTACCTCTGGTCTACATTGCATACTGACGTGGCACTACCTCTGGTCTACATTGCATGCTGATGTGGCGCTACCTCTGGTCAACATTGCATGCTGATGTGGCGCTGCCTCTGGTTTACAGTGCATGCTGATGTGGCGCTACCACTTGTCTACATTGCTGATGTGGCGCTACCACTTGTCTACATTGCTGATGTGGCGCCCCCACTGGTCTCCATTGATGATGTGGTATGTGCCACCTGTCTCAACTGCTGACGTGGCATTGTCCACGCTGTCTACATGAGGTGACTGGTTGCGAGGAGGAGGAAGATTGGGATCTGTGGATGAAGGAGATCGGGTACTCGCCTGAAGTTGACGTCGTCACTGGAATCTGCTATGTCTTCATAGTCTTCACGAGATAAAGTGCCACGTAGCACTATTGTGTGTGATCAGGTTTACCATACTTGTTATCATCTACTAGTTGTTGATGTGGAGAGGGAAGAAGCCCGGAGAAGGAGAGGGGTCTGAAGGGATTATTATTGTGAGATCTTTCATCTTCTCCTCTGTCTGTTCCCCCTCCACTCTCTTCTTTTAATGGTAATGAGATACTGTTCAAGATATCACTTCACGATTTGGAGACTTTGATGCAGATAGTGAGACTACTGATGTTTGACAACTTCTGAGAATCTGCCAGACTAGGTTCATTACAGAGAGTTTCAAAGAAGATCCGCCTGAGCAGTTCGGGGCCAAAATGGAGGCCTTCTCACCTGTTTAGTTACCAGATGGAAGAATTGGGACACAGAAAGAAACATACAGATGTTCTAAATAGGCTCAATAGGAGGTAGTTTCAGGATAAGTGAACTTACGTGTGCGCTTCCCTACCGACTTGTCTCTTCGTCATTTCCCATTGAGCTCCTAAGCCTGGGAACAAACCCGGTTGTGAAATCTCAAAACCATATATCCGCTTAATGCGAATGTACCTGTTGGAAAATAAGAAAAAGCACCACAGCAAGAAACCAAAAAAGAAAGACACAGACAAACACACCATAACGCTTTAAAAATTTTGATAACAGACTAGGCAAAGAAACGTTCAATAAACATATTAAACAACTTGATGCTTTTGTCATAGATAAGATGATGATGTGTCAATTGCAGTGGTCATACAATCTTAGGGTGTGGATAATTGCAGTCGGCATACAATCATCTTTATTTTTACCATTTCTCGATTTATGCATGTCGTCCTTGTGCAGGGGCCATTCTAATCTTCTCTGTATCATTCCAATTTTAAGTTTTCACGGATTTCCCCGAGGACAAGGTCATGCAATCTTCTTACCTCCAACAGAAAACAAAAACTATCATGACTTCTGAGTGGAGCTTGGCCTCAGAGGCCTGTTTCAGGGTGGCGCTTCCCTCTGGAGGCAGTATCTGGGTGGTGCTTGATGTTTCAGGGACTTAGGGTTGTTATTAGCGGTTGTTCAGGGTTGGGGAGTGAAGCGCTGCTCATTTCTGAGCAGCTCACCATAGTTCTGGGGTTATTCTGACAATTCGAGACTTTGAGTTTAATAAACAGTGTTGATACTGGGTTTGAACTATCTTTGTTTCATTGTTTCCTGGATGTGATCTACTCGGCTTTCCTTTGTGGCTGGTTGTGAGGATTATGTGGAGTGAAGTGCACTTTCAGTGTTCTCTGTCATATCGCATGGTCAAGTCTTCCGCTGTGTTTATCTCTCTCTGCGCGGTGTGATACTCCCATCCTCTCCCCTTCCTTTCTATGTATGTATGGGCATACCTGAAAGTCTGTGTGCGAGTGTTGGTGTTCTGACAACAAGCAACCAGGTGCATAACAGTTGGTATCAGAGCCTAGTGAAGTTGCGACAACCTATTGAGGTTCGCATTGGCGACGACTCCACAACAAGGGTTGGATCAGGCCCAACACATCTGAGTTTGGAGCACCAGTCCTCTTTGTTCCAAAGGGGAATGGTGAATTCAGAATGTGTGTGGACTATAGAGGTCTCAATAAGATCACGGGGAAGTCCACATAGCCTCTTCCTCGTATCGATGATCTGTTGGATATGGTGCAGGGCTGTGACATTTTTAACAAGATCGACCTCAAATCTGGTTATCACCAGATTGAAATGGCTGAAGGCGATGTCCACAAGACAACCTTCAAGACCACGTATGGTACTTGTGAGTACGCCATTCGGTCCTTGCAATGCCCCAGGCACATTCCAAACAGAGATGCATCGCATAATCGGGCCTTACCTGGACAAGTTCGTAGTTGTCTACTTGGATGATCCTAGTATTCAGTCGTTCTGTCCAGGAACATGCGCAGCATCTGGCTCGAATCCTCTAGGCCTTACATGATAACCAGTATAAGATTAACAGGGATAAGTGCTCTTTTCGAGTTCCCTCTGTGGTCTATCTGGGTCATGTTATTTCTGGAGAGGGGTTAGCTCCTGAGGCAACGGAAGTTGCTGCTGTTCAAGACTGGCCGAAACTTGTTAACATTCGTGATGTCCGGTCTTTCTTGCGTCTTGCATCCTGTGTTTCCGGGTCTAGGATCCCTAGCCCCCCTTTGTTTTTTGGTTGGATCACCGATGACCAAGCTACCCTGCTAATGACATTCTTAAGATCACCATCACCTCGCCACAGCAGTGTCGTCACCTGACGCTTCAGAGATCGGACGGCTTCCTTGTTGAGAGCCTAGATTGTCTACTACAGGAAGTTCATTAAGAACTTCTCCTCTATTGCGGGACCCCTGACTAACCTCACAAAGAAAGACACTTCCTTTCTTTGGACATCAGAGTGTCAGAAGGTTTTCTCACGTCTCAAGGAGGCCTTGATTCGTACCCCTGTTTTGAAGTTACCTGACCCTACTTTGCCTTTCGTGCTCACTACTGATGCTAGTCCGTATGGTGTAGGGGCGGTACTTCAGCAGGATGATGGGAATGGTCTGCAACCTGTCGAATATATGAGCAAGAAGATCAAAATAAAAAAGTTGCAAGACTCTACCTATGAGAAAGAGCTTTATGCTCTTGTGTCAACGCTCAAGCATTGGAAACACTTCCTCCTGGGCAAGCACTTCAAGATCTTTTCAGATCACTCCACCCTTCAGTGGATGAAGTCCCAGGGGGAATTGAATGACAAGCTTGCTCGCTACATTCAGTTCATTGACATGTTTGACTTTGAATTGAAGCACAAGCAGGGATGCTACAATCGAGTAGCAGACGCCCTTTCTCGTAGGCCTGACGCTCTCTTTCTGATCTCCTTTACTCACTCTTTTGGAGAGAAGACTCGTCAGACCATTGCCCGTCTACTGCCCCATGATGCGATTTTTGGCCCTATAGTGAGGAATCTTCAGGATGATCCTGCCTCTGAACCAGAATACACACTGGTTTCAGATCTGCTGTACACCTGCAGCCGGGGTGAGGAACGCCTATGCATTCCCCATGACCGCAAGCTGATAACACTTCTGATGTCAGAGTGTCATGATGCTCGTGGTCACTTTGGTGCCCTCAAATCATATGCAGCCTTGTCGCAGCGCTTCTTCTGGAAGGAGATGAGGAGTGACATGTTGCATTATGTGGAAACCTGTAAGTTATGCCAAAGGAACAAGGTGGTACAACGACCTCCCCTTGGCCTACTCAAACCCCTACCCATCCCTTAAGCACCTGCACAATCAATGTCTATTGATTTTACTGTTTTGGGTAGGACCACAACACGTGGTATGCGTCAGGTTATGGTATGCGTGGATCGGTTCTCCAGATATGCAGAGTTCATCCCCTTGCCAACTCACGCTCGAGTTCTAGCCGTCCAGGCGGCATTTGCTGGCAGGGGTTTACACATCATGGACCACCCACTTCCATTGTCAGTGGTCGAGATCCTAGATTTTGCAGCAATGAATGGCAATCCTACCGCAGGGATTGCCTTCATTCTCGACTAGACATGACATCTCATCGTCATCCTGAAGCCAATGGTCAGGCTGAAGTGATGAACCAGATTCTGTTTCAGCTGTTGCGTCCTGTGATCAGTCTAGATCAACAGGACTCGGATCTCCATTTAGGTTGTGCACAACTTGTGTATAACACTTTTGTACACTCCTTTACCGGCTTCACTCCTTACATGTTACACTAGGGTCGTGAGCCACGACAGCCTCTCGATGACATCATCGGTAAGGCTACCCCTACGCTGACATCTGGAACTGCAGAGTTCACCAGGCACTGTCGTGTGGACATAGAGCGCGCTCGTGCCAACCTGCTCAAATCCCAAAAGGTGATGATACAGCAGGCTAATAGGCACAAACCTCCTTCTACTATTCGCACAGGTGATTGGGTGTGGGTACTCGGTTATGAGCTGTCGCGAGAGGAGGACATTTCGCTTAAGTTGTTGCCACGATATATGGGTCCATGGCAGATCTTAGATACAGTGGGCGCTGATCCTTTCGGACCATCCTATACGGTGGATGTCCCTCTGCATCTACAAACCTACCCTGTCTTTCATGCATCTAAGTTGTTGCCATTGATCCCAGCTGATGCATTCCCAGACAGGCCTCCTCAATTCGGTCCCCCTATCCCTGGTAAGGGAGGACGAGTCAGGTACAGGTCCAGATAAGGAGTACCTTGTGAAGTTTTCATACCAGCCACATACTGCAGATCGCTGGTTTACTCGCAAGGAACTTCTGAAAACCGCAAAGTTTATTGTCCTCAGGTACGAGGCAGCACAGAAGGGAGAACCCCTTTGATGTTCTGCACGCCTACACCGCTAGCTCGAAGGTCCTCACTCAGGGAGGGTAGGTCTGCAATGACTTGCTGGTTTCTGCCTCTCATGTCGAGGCTGTACCATAGGTAGTATAGATTCCTAATTTTGTTTGACTGAGGGCTAACCGAGAGACCTACCTGTAGGGAAAATTCTTGAGGGACATATCTGCAAAATCGGGAAAATACAGGCCCGTACTAACTGAAATTGCCTACAGCTACCCTAACTGTGAGTCGCAAACCCGGGCTACCCCTAGGACAGATGGGCCCTGTGGGCCTAAGCTGATAGACGGTCCTATAGCATATAGCCGGGTTGGGAGAGGCCCTAGAGGCCGAAGTTGAAACTGTACCGGTTGGTCCAGTCAGTCCGGTCTAGGTCGTGTCTAGGCTAGTGTAGGTTAGAGATAGAAACAGGACATCGGTCCGGGCGCTTTTGGGCGGTTGGTACTGTGTACATCGCTGCTGTACAACGCATGAACTGAAGTGGTGACAGCTTAGGCGTTGGACGAGACAGACATAGCCGGACCTGCGGAGCGCCGGCCATAGCTGGGACCTGCGCTGTACTCTGACAGCACGCGGGGCTGTACAGAGGTTCGGGCTATCTGAAGTCTGCTGGAGGTGGGAGAAGTGGTACCCTGCTGGACCCTCTTCCGGAGTAGGGTTACAGGGTGTGTAGCGCTGCAGCCATAGCTGCAGCTTCTTTCTCAGAGATCATCTTGTCAGGAGAGGTGGCGCTGCTGTAGACTTCCACCCGGGAAGTCATCCGACACTTCATCATCATCAGACACGGTGGCGCTTGGCCTCAAAGGCCTGTTTCAGGGCGGCGCTTCGCTCTGGAGGCAGTACCTGGGTGGCGCTTGATGTTTCAAGGACTCAGGGGTGTTATTAGCGGTTGTCAGGGTTGGGGAGTGAAGCGCTGCTCATTTCTGACCAGCTCACCATAGTTCTGAGGTTATTCTGACAATTCGAGACTGAGTTTAATAAACAGTGTTGATACCGAGTTTGAACTTTCTTTATTTCATTGTTTCCTGGATGTGATCTACGTGACTGGTTGTGAGGATTCTGTGGAGTGAAGTGCACTTTCAGTGTTCTCTGTCATATCGCATGGTCAAGTCTTCTGCTGTGTTTCTCTCTCTCTGTGGGATGTGATAATCCCATCCTCTCCCCTTCCTTTTTGTGTATGTATCGGCATACCTGGAAGTCTATGTGTGCGAGTGTTGGTGTTCTGACAACAAGCAACCAGGTTCATAACAATAAGAACTATCTAACACAGTCTGTCTGCTTCCTTCCTGGGCTAGCACTTGAGCAGCAGTGCTCCAGCCTTAGGACACCACAACACAATGAAAGCATGATCCGGGGCAAGCTCTCTCTCTCTCTCTCTCTCTCTCTCTCTCTCTCTCTCTCTCTCTCTCTCTCTCTCTCTCTCTCTCTCTCTCTCTCTCTCNTCTCTCTCTCTCTCTCTCTCTCTCTCTCTCTCTCTCTCTCTCTCTCTCTCTCTCTCTCTCTCTCTCTCTCTCTCTCTCTCTCCCCCCCCCTCCTTACAGGATAAGAACTATCTAACACAGTCTGTCTGCTTCCTTCCTGGGCTAGCACTTGAGCAGCAGTGCTCCAGCCTCAGGACACCACAACGCACAATGAAAGCATGAGCTGGGGCAAGCTCTCTCTCTCTCTTTCTCTCTCTCTCTCTCTCTTTCTCACACACACACGCACACACACACACACACACACACACACACACACACACACACACGGATAAGAACAATCTAACATGGTCTGGTTGCCACCTTCTTGGGCTACCGATGGCACTTGGGCAGCAGTGCTCCAGCCTCAGGACACCGCAACGCACAATGAAAGCATGAACCGGGGCAAGCCTGGCCTTTGTAGCTTCGATTAGGTCTGGTTCAGATTGCCTTCTCAAATGGCTGAGATTTTTCAATCTGTAAACCCGAGAACTCGTCACGGCCAGTGCATGCCTTGACCCGGTGCACCCTGGAAGCTTCAAGAAACTGTATTGGGCCTTTGGATTTGCGTATAATCTATGGCTGTGGTTGACTCAGAAAAAACTTTGACCCTTTGACTTCTCTGCCCTGGTAGCACACGTTGTAGGTGCTGACTGCTCTGTGCCCAAGGGCCTACTCTGACTTGTGGAGGCCCTGGCACCTCGATTTGACCTTGACCCCAGGCCTACCGACCTAATGGCTTTTTCTGGAACCTTTGTAGAGGCTCTAGGACAACTTTTGACCCTACAATGTCTTTCAAGGGCCTCAGGAAAGGCCACGGCCTGAGCGCCATCCAGATGGAGTGGGTTAAGGATTAACAACAGTAACTATCCCGATCTCCCAAATGCAATGCAGGCATTGCAGGGTCAATAGAACTGTACTAAATGCAACTTTTGGGTGTGATAAAGCTCTAATGATCCTGCACTCTCTATCAGTGAAAGGGGTAGGAGGCCTGGAGAGCTCAGTGGCTGCCATGTTCCGTCATTCCAGGAAAAGCCGCACCGGGTCTTACCGTCTAGCTGCTGGCACTCCGCATCTTCACGGAGAATTCAATTTCACTGAGCCCATGTTGGAGACAGTGGGGCAGTTGTTACACCATTCGTGAAGTTGGGCGGTCAAGGGTAGGGAGGTCAAGAGTCTAAGAATTGTCAAAAGTGAGAACACAAAAGTAACATACCGTATCAACCACACACATATAATATTATACATGCATAGTAACATAGATATATTATACGTATGTTTATGTTCAGCTAGTGGCCCTTGTTGGCCAGCCCGGTATGGTCAGGCTGTGCAACACCCAATGATCCATACACAGTATTACACACCCACTCCTATTAGATGGTTATCCCAAGTTCAAACCATGAAAAAATGAAAAAGAAGAGCATCCAGAGTTGTTTGCCCAAAGAAAGGAGGCCAAGAAGAACAAGAAGTGGGAGAGACGAGGAGGAGGAGGAGAAGGAGACGAAGACGAAGACGACAACGACGACGACGACGACGACGACGACGACGAAGAAGAAGAAGAAGAAGAAGAAGAAGAAGAAGAAGAGAGGAGGAGGAGGGGGAGAGGAAAGGAGGGGGTGAAAGATGAAGCAGACTTAAAAAAAAAAAAGACGAGAGGAGGAGGAGGAGGAGGAGGAGGAGGAGGAGACAAGAACAAGGAGTACGAGGAGGAGCTGCCAGTTCTGTATAGCGATGACGAGGGGAAAAAAAAAGCTTATGGAGGAGGAGGAGGAGGAGAGAAGAAGAAGAAGACGAGAGCAGGAGGAGAGAAGAGAAGAAGACGAAATGAGGTGGAGGAAGAGGAGGAGAGGAGAAGAAGATGGGAGGAGGATGAGGAGGAGGAGCTGCCAGTTGTGTCTTGTGATGACGAGGAAAAAAAAAAAAAAGGCCGATGGACAAGGAGGGGGGAAAACAAGAAGACGAAATGAGGAGGACGAGGAGGAGAGAAGAAGAAGAAGACGAGAGGAGGAGGAGGAGGAGAGAAAAGAAGAAGACAAAATGAGGAGGAGAGGAGAGAAGAAGGAGGAGGAGGAGGAGGAAGAGAGAAAAGAAGGAAACGAAATGAGGAGGAAGAGAAAAAAGAAGAAAACGAAATGAGGAGGAGAGAAAAAGAAGAAGACGAGAGGAGGAGGAGGAGGAGGAGAGAGAAGAAGACAAAATGAGGAGGAAGAGGAGTGAAGACGAAGAAGATGAGAGGAGGAAGAAGAAGAGGAGGCGGAAGAGGAGGAGGAGGAGGAGGAGGAGGTCGGCTGCACGCAAGGTGGAGGAGGTCGGCACCTCGACCACGGGTAGATCGGCGACGACGTGGCAGGTCAATGATGGGCAGCGTGATGGGAGCTCCACGCGAGGAGGAGGAGGAGGTTGGCACCTCGACGATGGGCAGGTCGACGACAACGTGGCAGCTCGACGACGGGCAGCACGATGGGATCTCCGTGTGAGGAGGAGGAGGTTGGCTACGCGCGGAGGGCACCTGGATGACAACGGGGCACAGGCAGCTTGATGACGACACACCAGGGGAAGGTCGATGGCGACGGGCAGCTCGATGACGACGGCGGGGCTTTGAACTCCGTGGGCGGGGAGGACAATCCCCCATTCAATTTCGAATGCGGGATCGTAGCCCTCCAGCCTAGAAACTTAGAAAGTCGTTAAAAAAAAAAAAACAAGCACTAGGCGGCTGGGGAGGTCGCCACTGGCCGAAAAAGGCCTGCCCCCCCCCCAGCCCGCGAAATTGCACTGGGCCCACCCCGCGCCCAACAGGGGAACCCAACCGGCCGGGCCGCCCGGGAGCCCTACCCAATGAAGGCCAGACCGCCGGGCGGTCCAGATTTTAACACAGATAATTCTGATTTACCTGAGGCCGGTCAGTTCAATGATGATATCTCAAGACCGTCACCATTTATTCGGAAAAAAAAGAGAAATTTAACAGAAAGGCTGAGAAAGCATCATTTCATAAATGTAGCAGATCAGTTCAGGGAATGTTGAATTCTCTGCCCAGTGCCCACCCCCCTAAGACTTATTGTGTACTCATTTTTTACCTTGGTTCCTTGCAAACCAAAAGAGGACAATGCAAGGGGGCAGCCTTGAAATCGTTTTCAGGAAACAAAATTAACAAATTCATTTCAAATTTTCAAAAATGATTCATTAGAAATTTAAAAGAAAGCATCACTGCACATGAAATGCAATGGGGGCCGCCTCAAAGTTAATTTTGAGGAAACAGATTCACTTTAAAGTTTGAACTGATTCAAAAATCAAAATAGAAATTTAAAAGAAAGCATCATTGCAGCAAATTTCAAATAGATAGGTTCCCTAAATAGGTTCTCCTTCATCAGAACCATACATGATAAGTTTTTGTTTTGTCATATGGCTCAAGTAGTATGTCAATTATTTTCATCTCTTTGATAAATAGAAAAAAAAAAACTGTCCTTAGGGACATCCGTTAAAATTGGAACGATACAGAGAAGAGTAGCATGGCCCCTGCGCAAGGATGACAGTGTGACACGCATAAATCGAGAAATGGTCCAAATTAAAAAAAAAAAAAAACGTTTTTTTCAAAAAATAAATAAATATATAATTTATTAATTTTATTAATTTCCATTTCGGGTTTTCTTGCTTTCCGTCATGGTTGGATAGACCCTCTTCTCTCCCCTTCTATCCAGCGCCAAAGGTCTGTTATCCTTGCCTGTGCTTTGTCCATGGTATTTAAAAAACGATAATAATAATAATAATAATAATAATAATAATAATAATAATAAATCGTGGTACTCACTCCTCCAAGTCGAAAGCTTCTACCCCCAGATCCTCATCCCAAATAAACAGGTAGTCGTACGGCTCCACGACGTCTGGATGCAAAAACCGTTTTGCGAACCACCTGCCAAAAACAAAATGCCGTGTGCACAAAATATCAGAACGGAGCCAGGAACATTCTAGTTTTCACACTCTAGAGCAACATCTCACACTCTAGAGCATGTCGAGCGTTCAGTGCTGGAGCGAGGGCCAATGCCGCTCTATTACACGGATGCCGCTGTATTACACGAGAGTCACAAGACCAATCTGTCCAATCTCACAAACCATGAGATGATCAGAGGGAAAGTGGAAAAATGTCTGGGAGGCATGGCTTTCAGCCATGGTCGAATAGAGAAGGCCTGAGCAAACGGCGTACAGTCATTTCCTTGTCGGTGAAGCATTCCAAATTACTGTCAAATGGGGTGACAGAAAAAAAAAAAAAACATGCTGCACTAGAAAGTTCAAACTTCAAACTCTAAAAGAGTCTAAAATTTAATCGGAAAAGAGAAATGGGACCCAGTTGGAAAGATGCAGCAGAACGATTGAAGGACTGTCCAACCCACGTGAGAAAGTTTGGGTGGAGACGGATATGATGATACAAGCCGGAGCAACGAAAGAAGGAGAGATGGACCTTCAGCAAGAACTGGTGGATAAACGGCAAGATTGCGGGGTTACGAGAAGACCGTATTGGCTGGAAAGAGTGGCATAACCCAACCCCAGGAAGGACTCACCAGCAACAGACAACTGCGGGTGGACAAGACATTCCATGATCAGACATCCACGAGGGGTGCATAAGACGGAAGTAAGGGTGTCATAGAGCAGGATATTAGTCGAGGGTTTAGGGATTAAGGGTTTAAGGGATTTTCAGAGAGGGTAGAGAAATTTCGGGCAGGGGACAGGGTGGCTCTCGGGTAAGGATGGATAAAAGGAAGTACAAGGGACAGACAAGACAACCGGGCAAACTCTTTCTAGGAATTTAGAACTATCTGACGGACCTAGCCACCAGGTCTGAGAGGAGAGAGGGTGTCATGGCAAGCTAACAGTCAATCCTCCGTCAAGACAGTAGTCAATGCTGCTCAGGGGTCCTTCGGCCAGATGGAAGGAAGCGTGACTGTCTTAATTGTTGTGTATAATTCCGACTTGCCGGCGGAATAGGGAAAAAAAAAAAAAAAAAAAAGAGAAACGGGACGCAGTTTCAATGAGTGAATCGTCAACTCAATTGAATTGAACAATTCCCACTGAGCTGAAGCGCTTGCTTTTTTCAGATTAAGTTCATTCAAAAATTCAAAATTGTAATATGAGTGTTTTTTTTTTTGGTCCTACCTTGTTTCTTGAGCAAATTTTTTAAATTTCATTCCCCATCTCTTCTGGATTTCCGAAGCAGAGTCTTTAGTTTTCAATCCCAGCTCGTATCCAAAATCCGCAGAATATTCGAAAATAGGCAGGTTCTTTTCGTGTTTTTTTTCCTCCCAGGAGTCCCGGCCCACTTCCTGAAGTCAAACTCCAACTCCTTGATGGCTCAGCGCGGTTGAGACTGGAGAGAGTGTCCACGGTTTAGATTTTGCCTGCCCTCACTTTAATCAGGACGAAGGTATCTCCATTTGAGTTGTCTCGATGGTGTCATCCGCTCCACGACACAACACTCTTACATGCATTTGGAATTTTGGAGTCTTTTGAGCGCTTTCTAAACCAGGCGCATTGGGATGAGTTCGACATCTTGATATGCATCGGGTCCAGAAACCATCAACATGCATGTATAGAGCGTTTAGTACTGGAGCGAGGGCCAATGCCACAGACAAGGATTTCCCATTCCTGGTTCTGAGCTCGGGCTACAGGGCAGGAGACCAAACTCACCCTGTACTATAGCGGCATAGCCAATAGTGGGTATTCTTAATTCTTTTGACAAAGCGGAAAGCTCTGGCGGGCGTCTGTTGTTCTATCTGGCATTAATTATGGTTGTTATCTTGTTGCCGCAAGGCCCAACGAACACATACTAATGTTATGATGACTTATTAACACCACAATGTCGGAACCTGAAACTCGCCAGAACTGTAACAGCTTGGGCCCAATGAACCCGTTGGTCCCATCGTGATTGCCCGCGGAAAGAATATGAAAAACTCAAGCCTACTGAATATCGCAGCCTCCAACGATTGATAGCCTATATGGCCCATGCGCGATGCCGGCATGCACAAATCAAAAATTGGCCCAAAGAAAAACGCAGGGGGGAGAAGGGGAAGGACGGGGACAATGCCAGACAAACATTCGTTTCATACAGCCTTCCAATGTCAAGCCTCTCGCTTGGCTTTTCTTTTTCCTTCTCTCTTTCAGAAGAGATCAACAGGTAGAGTAAGTGCCCAGCCCAATCTATATGATCATAAAATGAGTAGAGGGTGCAACCGCGTGCTTAGATCATGCAGGCCACATCCCAGTCTCACTCCTTTCCTTTCAAAATCTAGGCCACTGTTTTACAGGTACCCACCATTTCGTCTGCTTCTTTGCCGCAATATGGATTGCCGTTTTCGCCCAGTCCATGGCGTGCCACTCACTCACAACACCATCATAATGCCATAGAATGATTGTGGTAGTTTCTTTTGGGAACTACATGCCAAAAGGAAAAGTGAAATGTCAGCATCAACATACTTCACCATCCAAGTAGGGCACCCAAATATATTCAGCACACGTGCACACACACACACACATACTCCCCCCAGGCATACACACACACACACACACACACACACACACACACACACACACACACACAC